TGGACAGAGAACCAATGGGGAGGAGACGATAACAGTACCAGGATATAAGATGGAGGTATAGATTTTGAGAATAAAGAATCATTTTTATGCAGTTTGGCTACTGTGGTTCAACTGAATCCAGTGTGATAACCGATCCTTTCTGTCCTCTTTAGACTATTAGATTATCCCCACCGAGGTCACAGGACTATCAGCATCAGGTGGGCTATATGAAAAAAGGTAATGGTAGCTGGGTTACCTTGTTTGTCTCACTATTTCAAATTAACAGCAAGAAATGGCTGAAAGGACTAGATGCTTTAATCACGTCACATTGTCTGAGTAATTCTCTGTATTATATTGTTCTACAGGACGGGACCAAGACCTACCTTCTACAAAGGTGACAAGGAACATGCGCCAAACTGTGACTTTGGAAAAGTAAGCACTGTTCCTTCTGATGTCAAGTTGACAAAGTGAAATCACATGTCCTCTCACCATGTACTCTAATACAGTTTAGTTAAGATGTTGCAGGTCAGTCTGTAACTTTGCCAGTGTTAATAATCTGTCAGACGCACTGAGTCCAGCTGAGTTTGCAGAATTAGTTTTTGCTGCAGCTGAAGCTTGTAATGCTGGAAGTATTCATAGTGATGTCAGCATTTTGGCCGCTTCCATGTTGGTTTTATAGAACCAGAAGTAACCATATTTGTACAAGTGCACAGAAGCAAATTCAGTTAGTAAGCTGACGAAACGTTTCTCCCACTGAACACGCTAATTATACTTTGTACCTCATCCAGCTGAAGGACCAATAAGCTCAAGTCACGTCATCGCGAGGGATCCATCCCTTCACAAACAAAAGCTTCTCTACTCCCTGAGTGTTCAGAATTTATTCAATTTTTCATATAAAGCTCATCAAATAGGTCCTCGCCCGAAATGTGCTCAAGGTCTAACCACATTCGGCGTTGACCTTTTAATTCGCATTATCTTGTGTAATACAGCCAACTAATAATAGACCTTTCTCTCTTTTTCTGTACACACATCACAATAACCTGTGACTTGTGAGTCACGGGTTTTTGCAGTAAGCTCGATGAGCTGCGTCATTGAAATTCTGGTTTCGGTACCACGCTGTAAACATGTTCATTTTCTTGCTAAAGCTGGAACTACAGTTTGGCACTTCCACCTTGGCTTCCTCTTTCACCCCTGAAAGTTACCACAAGACGTTAATACGTTAAACCTGATTGACTAAACTCTACAGCTCTACTGACTAAAGCCCTGCTAAGTCCTGATGAATATGAGCTGTAACGTAAAAACAAATTAACTTTCCTTATTACACAGACCTGTTCCTATTTTGTTATGTACATTTCCATCACAGCAGTTTTGTCGCTCTTTTGTATATGTTAGGAGGCAAGAGACTCTCAGTTACCTCAGGCAGTGCATGTGTTGTAAAGACATATTTAAAATAAGCAATATGTAGCAGATCAGTTGAAGAGTGGGACTGAAGCACTACGCTGATATGGTTGTTTCAGATGCTGCTTTATATCATAATATTTTCCAGGTTTGACCTTTTACCTCCTACTGGGGCAGTCTGGATTAGTTAATGCCCAAATATTTTTAAATTGCCCAAATCATTTTTCTTCTAGAACGCCCATCACTTGTGACCTTTGTGAGGTTGAGCTTGCCAATGGGCAGGAGCTGCAGGATCATTTGGACAGCAAATGTCACTGGGACACCCTGGAGCACATTCAGCAGAATAATAAATACGATGACGTAATGATAGCGTTCCTTCAGGTACGATCACTGACAGAAATGGTAAAACGAATTTCCCAGTCATGTATTCTGGCTTCTGTATCATAAGTTTGCACTCTGCATGTACTATAGATCCATAGATAGATGTCCAACAGATCTTTTCTTTTTTAGGAAGTGATGCTGTATAAGAGCCATTATTGTAGCCAAGCGGTAGAGGACAACGCTCTTCAAAGTAAATACATGTTTTGAAATGAAAAGTCATGATGTTCATGACAGACTAAAAAAGAAATACTTTCATCCTACTCACCCCTATCGTGTTGTCAGCTCTACAGGAAAATAACCACATGACAAAGGTGGAAATGTTTCATTGTGCTGCTTGCAAAGTTTACATATCCACATCTGTTGCTGAAGTGCAGGCTCACATCACCTCTGAGGAACACCTCTCTCGCACAAAGGTAATGCTGCTGTCCTACAAGTGCAACAACACAGATGTGTTTTCATTAAATATCCTTTTTGTTTACTGTGATTGTTTGACTTTCCCGAAGGAGTTTGAAGTGCATAGGAGACATGCTTGCCTCAGCAAAGCAGAAGCCATGATGAAGGAGCTCAAACCACAGTTTGAACACTTCCTGAAGGTATTTTGCAAGAGATTTCCAAACTATCTAGAGTGTACACAGTGTGCTGGCAGAGCTGCTTAACATTAATCTACCAAGCCAAAAAAAGCAGCTGGGGCCTTAGACTTTTTTAATATTTAAACAGTCGTTTTTACAAAGTGGTTATTTTGACCTAATATTTTCTTAAGTTGTCCAATTGTGGACTAAGTGTACTCAAAATTCAATCTTCTACATGATGCTTCTAAAACGAGTACCTGAAGCTATCCAGTGTTTGGACAATAATAGGATTTTGGTAATTTTGCCTCTGTTTAAGATGGCAGTGGAGTTTGAGTGAAACTATGAAGATCTGCGGTTTCAAAGGTTTTAACGAAAGTATTGTGTCCGCTTTTTAGAAATTGCAGACATTTTCAAGAGGCTCAAAAGTAACTCGACAATTGATTGACTAGGAGTTTCATGGCCAGTTTTGAGGCCTGTTTACTACATGACAAATTAACCAGGTAAAAGATCTGGAGTTGGTTTCAATTGTTGCCTTTTGTAGGCTGGAATTCTAAATATGAGGTCCAAAGAGTTATCAGTGTTAGAGACGGAGGGCATCTCTTAGGGTGCCAAACAGAAATAAACCTTTCAGAGAGATAACATAACAAAAGGAAAAAAGAGAGAGTGGCTAAATCAACAGTCTCTTTCCTTGGTTTAAAAAAAAAAAAACCCTCTCATGTAGTCAAAGCTAGTCAGGCAATGAAGTGAAGAAAGTCTGATATCAAAATTCATCTTGTAAATACAGAGGATTTGCAACAAGGTGCACACCACCGGTTACGGTTAAGAACAGACAGGTTAGAATAAACTTTGCCAGAAGGAGTCTGCACAGTACTGTAGAAGGTTAAATTTGCGGTTTTGTTAATACTTATTTGTAGCTTCCACACCAAAATTTGATACATAAAAACCCCCCGACTTGAATACAGAAGTAATTTGAAAAACATTAGCTTGCTTCTTTGTCTTTTATTTAGTACAACTGGAAATAAATCTTTTGACAGATTAAACCAACATGAACTTAAAGAACAATAATGGGAAGAGAAATATACGGGCAAGGAGAGAAACAGCTCATCCAAATCAAATGTGGTTGTTGTAGTGTTAAGATATGGGGATGTATGGCTGCCTGTAGTTTTTATTGATGAAATACCTACTGATAGAAGTATCAGGATGAACTGTGAAGTGCACACGGCTATACTCTCTGCTCTAATTTAGACAAATGCTGCCAAACTGCTTAGACAGCATTAGACAAAAGCAACCCAAGAGTATTAGTCACCTGATCTCAAAACAACAAAGCATGTTTTACAGGTAAAACTGACAACAAACCCACAATTAAGCAGGATCTGAAGGCAGCTGCTGTAAAGGCCTTGTACAGGATCTCAAGGGAGGAAACAAAGTATTTGAGGACGTCCATGGGTTTCTAGACTTCAGGCAGTCATTGAGTACAAAGGATTTTTATCCATGTATTAAAAACAATCCTTATATTTAGAGTTTGTCCAGTTACCTTTGAGGCTCTGTAGATGGAAGTCTGTGTATGAAACTGGTTCTATTTCCTAAACACTTGAGGCATAATTTTTGTTAAACCTAAGCTGAAAGTCTTCACTTTATATTTGGGCCTGGTATTATCACTTTCCTTATGTTTCTATACATTTATCCAGGATCTCTGGGCTACTTGGATCTTAATCAGTTATACAGATGTCATCTACTGCATGATGTATTTTGATATTTTTAAGTAATATGAGACTATTGGGTAGATGCGAATGATTTTTTTTTTTTACTTACCAAATTTAATGAGTTCAAACTTAATACTAAAATGAATTGGCTATTTTTTAAATAAAGATAAAAATCAGTTCTTAATGGGGGACAGTTCATATGCAGAAGATATTCATGATTCATATGAGTTCAAATAAGTAAAATATGTCTTATTAGTGTGTAGGTAAGTGCAGGGAATGTAATCTTCTGTCTTGCAGAGTTAACTTTAATGCACTTTTGTGTGAAGTGAGACATCAAAGCCAAATTGAAACGCAACATTGTACATAAAAGCATAACTTTATCTTTATGTATCAAGTGAAACGTAACTGAAGCCATAAATCTTATTAATGCATTTGTTTTCACTCTCCGTACACTAGCTCGATTAGTAGAAGCAAATGATAGCCTGCAGAGCTAGGAGTAATTACTAGTAATTAAAGTGTGTGCACTCAGCATGTCTGGAGCTCTACAGATGTAACTAAACTAATTCTTTTCTTTCAGGGTGGCAGCCCATTCGAATGACAGAACTTACGTGATGTTGTCATGAGACTGTTTACACTGAGATGCTGCGGATGAAGAGCAGTCGACTTTACTCTTCATTACCACACAAAACTGCTGTCCCAGTACTCGTGTCTAATGCTGACAGACATGCTGTTGTGGGCCTGTGAACACAATGCAGCTTTTCTTTGTTTATATACGGATTCCCATTTCTCATCTGCCTTGCGTTGCACTGACTACAGCTGCTCCCAGACGATCTCCATCTGGGTGCTTGTAGAAGGTTAAACTTGCAGTTTTGTTAACACTAATTCTTTGTACCGTCCACATCAAAATATGCTACGTTAAAAAACAAAAACAAAACATGAATGCATAAATAATTTGAAAAATGTCAGATTGTTTCTTTGTCTTTTATTTAGAACAACACAAATGTTTTAAGCATTGTATCTGTGTGATATAGTACATTTAAAATTAAATTATTTCAAAACAGTATATTTAAACATTAAATATAGGTGACATGTATGAAGGGCTTGGTCAGCACGGGTTGTGCGTGTTAGGTCTCTCTCTCTTTTTTACCTCTTTTCTTCCTCAACCACCTTCAGTTTAAATCTTGTGTTAGAAACAATGCAGTTACTGAAATACTATAAAACACTCTTTCTATGCATGACAAGTTTTCAGACATTTTTTTTCTTTTTCATTTTTTCCTCTTTTTTTTTTTTTTTTTTTTGTTGTTTTGCACTTTCATTCAAAATATTTCTCTCAGTAACTCTGGCCTGAAAAGAGACTGTGGGTTTTGATTTGACCATGTTGCAATACAAAGGAAACATGACTTGATGTGAATATTGATACAGAAGAGAAGTGCTCCCAGAAACTGACTCAAACCATGAGAAATCTGAGGTAAAGGTTGTCTTCATTAGAAATGGATTCCACACTACATTACTGCATAAAACAAAACAGTCTGTCCACTTGGAATTGTATTCCAAAAAAATGGACCATGTAAAAACAGACAGGGTAACAATATCCAAAATAATTGATTTTTTCATCTGTCCAAATGTGTACAATATCTCAGGCAATATTGTACTTTTGGCCGGTAATTTGTTGACTAAAAAAACCCAAAAGTGAACATCGAATATACATACACATACAGTCTAGTGAAATCTAAAAAGGTCCCCACTGGCCTCATGAGACAGCATGTGTGACTGTCAAGGAGCCATCTTGGTCAGTCTTGAAGGTTGGGGTGTCTGTGGGCAACGAGGTGACCTCTACCATGCCTAGCCCAGTGTGAGGGACGCTAGTGTTCATTATGTGTCTTTGTAAATGTTTTATCCAGTCCTCCTGAACTGACAAGGGACCTTGGAAGACCAGGTCACAGAACCTGGAAACACAAAGAAATGCAAAACCAGGCAACCAGGTTATCTGGCAGCTTGAGACTGGGGAAAAATGAATTGGGGATTAAAAAAACAACAAAAAAAAGCAAACACATTACCTGCAGGTGAGCCTGTACATTTCCTCTGGTGTTTGAGTTAAGGGCAGTGTCTTCTTTTTTGAGCCAGGCCTTGAGCGTGTCCTAACTGCTTTACAGTCAATCGCTGAAAGACAGAATTTCATTTACAGCCCAACATTAACACTACAGTATATTTAACATTATAATGGATGAAAATATTTGATGAACACTGGAAAATTGTCTAATGACATTTCAGCAAGAGTTCTTTGAATGGGCTTTGAATGTGTGGACGTTTTTGACTTTTGCTGTATTATGCATGGTCGAGTGTGGCTAAGAAAGGGCCCAAGATCAAAGTGTGATGATGTGCGCCTGCAGGAAAACTGGGTCCTGACAACTTGAAGCCACCAAGAGGTCGCTCTGCAATTAAAATCTCTGCTAAAGCTCCAAAAAGCTGATGCCCTCCTACATTCTTACCTTGGGGAGCACACAAATAACCACTGGTGGACTAAATATAACTAAGATTTGGACATCGCAGCTCCTTTTGGTTTCCAGCTACACAGTTTTATCAGGCTGAGATTTCTGCTGCTGTTGGTGCCTGAAAGTTTGTGAACCCTTTGCATAAATATGACCTGCTGCCAGAATAAGAGATCCCAGTTAAACAAGATAAAAAATATTACATCATTCCTTTTATTCAATAATCCAATGTTACATAAGAGAGGTAAAACTATGTGCTTTTTGCTTTTGCTCTAACATTCTTGCTAGGTTAGGGGTTAGGATTCTGACTTGGCCGCATAGTCTTTATTCTTCTTTAACCTTTAAGTACAAATATTAGCGATGAAGGTCATTGTATTGCTGCACGACCTACTTTCTCTCTCGAGATTTACATCGCAGACAGATGTCCTGGTTTTCCTTTAGAATTTGCTGGAATAATTCAGAAGTCATTGTTCCATCAGTGATGAAGAGGCATCTTGGCCTAGATGCAGCAAGCAAGGCCCAAACCATGATACAACCATCTGCTCCTCTCCCTGCCACGCACAGCTTTGCTGTTTGGTGTTCTCCTTTTAACAATTTAATGAACCTGAACATTTGCCAGCATGGAAGTGGTGTTACCCTGGGGTCCTTTATGATCATATGAACTACACACCTTGCTCTTGGGTGATCTTTGTGGGTCGACCACTCCTGGGGAGTGTAACAGTGGTCTTGAATATCCTCCATTTGTACACAATTTGTCTGACTGTGGAACGGTGGAGTCCAAACTCTTTTGAGATGATTTTGTAACCCTTTCCAGCTTCATGAGCATCAACAATCCTCTTCCTGAGTTCCTCAGAGAGCTCCTTTGTTCTTGGCATGATGCCGTTCCACAAACACAGTTAGATTCTTTTTTTTTTCTTTTTCTTTTTTAAACAGAACAGGCGGTGCACTCACACCTGATTGTAATCTGGCTGATTGAAAACATCTGACTCCAATTTCAGATTAACTGATAATCCACGAGGTTCACATACTTAATGCTAAAATAATACATTTTAGGACTTGAAAATCTGAAGTTGTTTTTGGTCACATTTATGCAGAAATCTATTAAATTCTAAAAGGTACTTTTCTTTGGAGGTTTTAACCAACAGTAGAGCATTTTTTATAAGTAGATGCTCACTTTCTTTGCATTGGCTACACTTGAAAACAAATATTTTGAAGGTAATGCGATCTGATGTGATGCTAGTGTAAAAAGAAAGCAGAAGGAGACTTCTTTGTGGTAAATGCTCCAAGACCAAAGATTTTTTTTTACATTTTTTTTAATTTGAAGTGGAACTGCTACTAAAACTGTGGTCAACACTGCAGAAAACAGATTGGCTTTTGCAACTATTCCCAATCTTCCAAAAAGGGTAAAAGGAGATTATTCAGTACCAGGAGAAGCCAAAGAGTATGCACAGAGGAAGAATAAAATCACTTGTTTTGTGAGCCCAGCTGTTTTGAGTTTTGATGTTTTTGTTACTGATAAGACCTAGTCAGGAAGAAGGCTAAGACAAAATTCTGGCGTGAAACTGGATTAACAGTTTATGGGGACATAGTAGTGTGAATGGTAAGTGTAATTGTAAAGGTTTTAAGAAGAAAGCATACAGGGCGTAGTCTGACTAAAGATTTTACTAGTTGCACTTACTGGTTCCCTCGAGTAAGGCGATCCTTTTTCTTTTTGCATATGCCCGGAGGTGATTTGACAATGCAACACCACTGTGGAACGTTGCGTTGCAATGGATGCACACCTTCCTGTTGAATTCACCCTTCTCTGCGAAAAGACAAAATCAATAAGAAGAAAGTAAATACAGAGGTTTAGTGAGGTTTACTTATTCGTCAGAGGTGTTGATGAATTGTAGAAACAGACACTGGTAAGTTTATCATGTCTAAAATCAAGCTTTCAACAGTTTTCATCACATTTCAGCAAATAAGCTGTCTGTGACAAAAAAGAAATGTACTTGGAAATGCCTAAGTGTCAATACTTTATTTAATATTATACTATTAACTGCAAGGCAATAAAACAAGAATAAAGCTAATCTGTATTTCGTGTAACAGGCACTTCCGTTTCATCCACAATACAAGGTACAGTGGGGCAAAAAAGTATTTAGTCAGCCACCGATTGTGCAAGTTCTCCCACCTAAAATGATGACAGAGGTCAGTAATTTGCACCAGAGGTACACTTCAACTGTGAGAGACAGAATGTGAAAAAAAAATCCATGAATCCACATGGTAGGATTTGTAAAGAATTTATTCGTAAATCAGGGTGGAAAATAAGTATTTGGTCAATAACAAAAATACAACTCAATACTTTGTAACATAACCTTTGTTGGCAAAAACAGAGGTCAAACGTTTACTATAGGTCTTTACCAGGTTTGCACACACAGTAGCTGGTATTTTGGCCCATTCCTCCATGCAGATCTCCTCGAGAGCAGTGATGTTTTGGGGCTGTCGCCTAGCAACACGGACCTTCAACTCCCGCCACAGATTTTCTATGGGGTTGAGGTCTGGAGACTGGCTAGGCCACTCCAGGACTTTCAAATGCTTCTTACGGAGCCACTCCTTTGTTGCCCGGGCGGTGTGTTTTGGATCATTGTCATGTTGGAAGACCCAGCCTCGTTTCATCTTCAAAGTTCCCACTGATGGAAGGAGGTTTTGGCTCAAAATCTCACGATATATGGCCCCATTCATTCTGTCCTTAACACGGATCAGTCGTCCTGTCCCCTTGGCAGAAAAACAGCCCCATAGCATGATGTTTCCACCCCCATGCTTCACAGTAGGTATGGTGTTCTTGGGATGCAACTCAGTATTCTTCTTCCTCCAAACACGACGAGTTGAGTTTATACCAAAAAGTTCTACTTTGGTTTCATCTGACCACATGACATTCTCCCAATCCTCTGCTGTATCATCCATGTGCTCTCTGGCAAACTTCAGACGGGCCTGGACATGCACTGGCTTCAGCAGCGGAACACGTCTGGCACTGCGGGATTTGATTCCCTGCCATTGTAGTGTGTTACTGATGGTGACCTTTGTTACTTTGGTCCCAGCTCTCTGCAGGTCATTCACCAGGTCCCCCCATGTGGTTCTGGGATCTTTGCTCACCGTTCTCATGATCATTTTGACCCCACGGGATGAGATCTTGCGTGGAGCCCCAGATCGAGGGAGATTATCAGTGGTCTTGTATGTCTTCCATTTTCTGATGATTGCTCCCACAGTTGATTTTTTTCACACCAAGCTGCTTGCCTATTGTAGATTCACTCTTCCCAGTCTGGTGCAGGTCTACAATACTTTTCCTGGTGTCCTTCGAAAGCTCTTTGGTCTTGGCCATGGCGGAGTTTGGAGTCTGACTGTTTGAGGCTGTGGACAGGTGTCTTTTATACAGATGATGAGTTCAAACAGGTGCCATTCATACAGGTAACGAGTGGGGGACAGAAAAGCTTCTTACAGAAGACGTTACAGGTCTGTGAGAGCCAGAGATTTTCCATGTTTGAGGTGACCAAATACTTATTTTCCACCCTGATTTACGAATAAATTCTTTACAAATCCTACCATGTGAATTCATGGATTTTCTTTTCACATTCTGTCTCTCACAGTTGAAGTGTACCTCTGGTGCAAATTACTGACCTCTGTCATCATTTTAGGTAGGGGAACTTGCACAATCGGTGGCTGACTAAATACTTTTTTGCCCCACTGTATACTCTTATTCTCTACATTTATGCTGATGAAACCTTAATTTCAACACACATGAACACTCACAAACACACAAAAAAATCCTGACAAAAAACAGCTGCTGCAAATCTGAGTTTTAGAACATGCACAAGCTTAGACAATTAAATTTAATGGTAGTCCAAAGCATTGTTACTTACCAGATATTTGGTTTGGCAGTGAAGATACAACTTTTGCTCCTGAATTGTGTTCACTGTTTGAAGAAACTGTTATCATGTTTCTGGATATCTGAGAGGATCCCTTTAGTCTGGCATCTTCCTGACACTTCCTTTTCTTTAGAATTCCTATCAAGGCAGTTGTGCCTGAGAACGAATTTTTAACATCCAAATTCGTCTCCTGTTGCCTTTGTTCAGATTCAATTTCTGCTAAAGAAAAGGTGGGTATCAGTGGTTTGGCTTCAGTGCAAACGCTTGAATCGGAATTACTTTTTATGATTCCAGTATGGGGCGATGTGAAACGATCAGCACTGGACAGCTTAGAAGAAGCACCATAGTGGAAATGGTTCCGTCTCTTTCCCACAATCTGAAGGGCCCTCTGGAACTCCTTCTTGTCCCTCATCAGCTCTCGTAGTAAAAGTAATGGGGATTTGTTTTTTGATGCAAAGCTTTTACCAAGCTTTTTGAGGTGGCCTCGTATGTGGTTTGACTGCCCAGTCCTGTTGTCAAACGAGTCCCCACATAAGGGACAAGAATGAATGCTCTTCACGGTCTCAGAGTTTGACTCTAGCTGTAATGCTGAGAGAAATAAAATAAAATTAGGCACAAAAACATTGCACCGTATAATATCAGACATTTGAACTTTGTAACACTGAACGACTTTTAATCTATAATTTAAATCCAGTTTGCAAGTTGGGTTTTATGTTTTATGCTCACAGTTCCTTCCACTGGTTTTATACAGGTATCTCAAAAGAATGACTGTCAAGATTTCGGATGCAGCTAGCTACTGTTGGCTAGCGCTTTGTCACATGGAATTACACAGCGGGTAGCTCTGCATGCTTTATTTGGCAGAGTTTTTACCCCAGAAGGCCTTCCAACTATTCCCATCAGGAAAGGCCAGATAACCAAAGGGGATTTGTGTCTCTGGCTGGAATCAACACAGTAATCTTCCACTTGCCCAGCAGATGTGTTAACCACTACACTATGGAGATGGACGCAGCCAGGCGGCTAACCACCCCCCACCAAAACAAGATGGAGAATTTGGAAGAAGGTAGCCCCACTAATTTTCACAAAGCAGTTCTTGAGAGTTTGTCAGTGTTGATTGTTACAGATACAACCTACTGACCTTTGACACTATAATGTTTACATATAAATTACCGTATTTCAAAATGCTTAAATTCTGCTGCACTGTTGGCTGCAGAAATCACCAAGACCAGAAAGAGAATCTTTAATTTTCTCTTGTTGCTGCTGATGTGGACAGAAGATGACACTGGATTGCAGTGACAGATCACAAACAATGGAAGCCTACAGTAGATTGTGGAGCGAACATTTCATTTGATCTAACCATCTTGCAGAAAACCCTATTTATAGATAGTGTACATTAGTGCTGGGCGATATGACGATATATATCGTGTGGACGATAGAAAAATGTCTATCGTGCCATTTGTCTTCTATCGTTTCTATCGTTTCTAACCTAGTTTTATAAATTATTACATAAAATATATCATTAAATAGCCCGTGGCAAATATATTAGTGTTGTCTTGTCACTATACATACTCTAACTTTATGCAAGAGAAAATAAAGTATAAAAAATCTGATATTTTTCGTAGGGGTGCAACAATACTTGTATCGGTATTGAACCGTTTGATATAGTGCTTTCAGTTTGGTACGCATATGTATCGAACGATACAAAATTTTAAATTTATTTTATCAACTTTTCTTCTGACGATGCTGTCTGTGTTGAGAGCTCAGTGGATCTGCGTTTGACTACTCCGCCTAGGCTGCACTGTCGAGCGCAGATCCACTGAGCGCAGCGCAAGCTAGCAAGACAGAAGCTAAGCTCGTTGCAACATGGCAACTGCCTCAACGCTACCCGAAACTGAACCTCCACCACCCTCATTCAGATCTGGAGTTTGGAACTGTCTTTGTTTTCATGTGAAGCATGACCCTGATGGTAAGCGCGTCATGGACGAAAGTAAACCAGTATGTCGGATGTGCCACGCAATGCTCAATTACATTGGTGGGAACTACTGCGTTAGCGCAGTTAGCTCGTTAGCGTGTTGACGCCGTCCAGCCCCATGCACGGGGCGATCCGCGGTAACTCGTTAACGGAGATTTGCCGCGTTGTGGCGTTAATGTCATTTTAACTAGATTAACGCTGACAGCACTAGTGGGAACACAACGAATATGACTGCACACTTACGCCGACATCATCCTAGTGCAAAGACAAGTGGAAGCAGACAAGTAGAAGCAGACAAAAACAAGAAGCACGCATGCTACAAACTTTACCCGAGTCATTTAGACAGCCGTTAGCACATGATTCTCCTTATGGGGACCTGATATGTTTAATATGCTGCCGAGAATATAGCCCAGAAGAAGCGTATAGTATAGCTTTTATTTTGGAAAGAGCCATTTCTCTGTAATAAACTCTCTTTTCCAAAGATGAGTGATTTCTCGAACAGATAGATTTATTTATATTTTATTATTTTGTTGTTTCAGCAACATTAAATTTAAAAACTGTACTTTTGAGTTAAAATATATATTTATAATTTTAATAAATGACAAATTAAAAAGGCATGAACATTTTTTTGTATCGAAAATATATCGAACTGTGACACCCAAGTATCGAACCGAACCGAACCGTGAATTTTGTGTATTGTTGCACCCCTAATTTTTCGCAAAGAAACTCCGTCTTGTGGTTTTGCGACATGCTTTATGGTAACTCAAAACGATGGACGCGCGACAGGTTGCAGTTTCATGCCCGGACATGCAACAGGCAGAGACAGCTACAAAGGCAGCCCAAGAAGAAGCACTTTCACCGAAAAGAGGGGATACGTCTGTGATTTGGTTACATTTTGGGTTCAACAGCACCGACACAGAGCAGAAGACGCCCATTTGCAAGCTGTGCTATAAAACTAATCCCGCACCCGATGGCAACACAACAAATCTCTTCTATCACCTACAGAAGGTACACAAAGGAAAACTCAAGAACCCAGAAAATCCAACCTAAACCAAGTTATGGAACAACGGAAGCAAGTTTGGAAAAGAAAAACTATAGCCAGCCGAAGATAAAGCAGTCTTTCGCACAAGGTATGCCGTTTGAGAAAACATCCCAGTGCCATAAACAAATCACAGGAGCCATCTCGCGTTACATTTGTAAAGGCATGGCCCCTGTTCATGTAATTGAGAAGGACAGCTTTCGTGACCTCGTCACCCTCTGCGCTCGCTGTTTACAGACTGCGTACTTTCCACATGACCACACTGGAGTCATGTTAGCCCAAGGTATGAGTCTGCCATTGCTACATATTTAACGTGCATAAAGTGCATTATGTGCATATATACATGCATGTAGTACTCATGTGTGTATATATATATATATATATATATATATATATATATATATATTAGTTTTACCAACATATAGAGATTGACAGACCACGTGACTTTCGCGCATTGCATGCCAGGAACTCGTGGCAAAACAATCCAAGTACCGCATCAAATGCAAGCATTTGCAGCACCGCAAAACGTTCATTCTCCGGTTCCAATACCTTCTTGCTTTTCCTTTGTCCCCCAAAAAAGTTATGTACAAAACGAAGGCGAACAATGCCGGTCCGTACAAAGACAGACTTGATGAAAAGTCAAAGAAAAGATACGAGGAAAAAAATCAAACGACTGAAAGGGTCAGACCCTTACGAGCACACAGAGTGGACAAAATACATTAGCGTGCAGCCCAACTTTCACCACGCTCATATTTATAATTATACGGTTCTTGGAGTGAGTGCATACACTCATGAAGTTTAGTAACTTCAGGTCACTGCAACAAGCCCAGGTACAGTTTACCGATGGATGGGTACAGGACCTTGAAATGCACCGTGTAGAACGAAAGACCATCGTATGAACAAACGATGTTTACCAGTCTCACAAATCGTCTTCATAAATACACATTCGTTAACCGTTTATTAATAGGACCTTTGAGCTCAACGGTAATTAATTAGTAATGGAAATAATTTCTGGTACGCATTACAGAAATGTAGCAGTGACAATAATATTGTATGCTGTAATCGTACTGGGCAATTAGTGATACAAAAAAACCTGTTTTACCCTGTGAATAAAAGTATATGTTTTTGCCAATGTACCATGGTAATAACAGAAGTGAAACGCAATATTGTGTCAGGACAATTCACTATTTATGCACAATAAACAAAGGAGCATAGCGCGACAATTTCTGTTCAGCGCCAGACTTGCTTGTAACCTATATCACCAATTATGTTATGAAAAGTATTAACTACTACAAAACACTGACCTTTTTGGAAATGCTTTGGAGCAGACTAACATGTGAGCTGGAGTGCTCTGGGATGTTATATTTGGTCTTTGAATGGCTGCAATCCAGGCCATCCGTCGGCTCTTTGTTACTTCGGAAACATGGCTCGAACAATTTCTCTTCAACAACGTAATCCAATAACAACTGATCTCTTTACCCGTCGGCTTCCCGTGGCTGTCATGCAGTTAATAATACAACAGCTTCTTGCCATTTTTTGTGTTTCTTTTTAATCGCTGTGTAATGTAATTTCAATTGAAAGCCTGCGTCCGCTAGTACCTCTTGCCACGAGTTCCCAGAATCCTTTGCGGTTTTACCCCTGAATGACGTCACAATTTCAATCTCTATATGATATGCATGTTAGTAAAACAAATATTTTCATCTACTGTTCTGGCTGTAGTAATTCCGAGTGACCCCTAATTAAGAATTAATGTGTCCAGGTCTTTGTCAAACTTTTCAGAGAATAACTGGAAACATTGTGGTAATATTGCGGTATATTGTGATATAAAATAATTCATATCGTGATAAATATTTTTTACATATCGCCCCGCACTAGTGTACATAACTAATTATTGCAGTTAATAACTGGTCAGTAACAACCAGTCACTAGAGAAAAACTCCAACCAATTGGCGAGTGGTACCTTCAAATTAATTTGATTAATCTGTTGATGGTTTAGTTTTTGGAACCACATTTTGAGATCTCCTGCAGTATCTGTTACAACTCGGCAAGAGCACATTTTAACAGTAGTAATAAGGAAAGCTGTAATGTACAAGAGTTTTTCTTTTAAAGAAGAACATGCAATAAGCAAGTACCTTTTTTCAATCGGCGTAATGCTGACATCTTCCGTCGAATTCGCGGCCTTCTGTCTTGACAAGCCACCTGCTCAGGAGGCACAACATGGCGCGCATTGTAGCTGAGCCCTACCCTATGAAGATGCCCTCGGACGTGATTTGACAATCCAACACCTGACTCAAATACTGCAGGACAATAAGGACAGTTCTTGCGGTCCGATTCCAACTCTGACAAATCATCTCCGAAGGACTCTCCCAATGGTATTTGGTGGGCTTCAAAGGTTTCTTGAAACACTTCTGTTTCTATGCATTCTTCTTTGATTTCAGGGTCAGTCTGCTCTTGCTCTTCAGTCTTTATCTTCTCAAAAAGCCTTTTAGATGCTTGAAGGGCACCCCTCATAGACATTCTTCTGCTATATGTGTAAATGATGTTTTGTTTTTCTTTTTTGATGCCATTGTCAGAAAGGTTACTGTTTGCATCTGTATCTTTAAACTGGAAAATATCCCTTTCATCATAGTTGGCCACTTCTTCAGGATTGACTTTTTTCGGACTTGGCAAAGGTTTTGGTAAGATAAAGCATGAGTCTTGGTCGGAGGTGTTGCGATATGGGGTGGACATCTTTCTTTTAGATGGTGTCTTTTTGACTGTCGAGGGATCTATAGTCACACTGGAGCCATTTGGGGATAAAGTTGATTCTTCATCCTTGACTGTCAATGTTTCAAGCAACTCATCACAACCATCTTTGTCACTGTGCTCAACAGGTTTACTACAATTATTGCGTTCCTTCTTCTGCTCTAAACTCTTTTTTCCATGTCTTTGTCGAGACAGGAGAACATTAATAGATTTGTCCAGTTTTGACTCTGTTACTTGAGACCTGGGGCCTCTCTTAAGCTTGCTATTTCTGAATAAGTCTGAAATGTCACTGGACCCATTAGGTGAACAAGCTCTTTTAGAGGCAATCTGATTTTTGATAGAGATTTTAGATGTAAACTCTGCATCTTCGACAGGAGTTTTACAAGTAGGCACTTGCTGCTCCTTACCTAGTTGTGCGTTTTTCTCTCTATGCTGTGCGGCTTCATATTCTTCAAAACTTTGTTGATGGCGTCTGAGAAGGTGATTCTTAAAAACAGTTTTGCTAAAAGCTCTATAAGAACAAATATCACATGAGAATATTCCATGATCATCCTCCTGCACTTGCTTTCTAACCGTAATAACAGTGTGCTGCATAATGTCATGTCTCCTAAGGTCATTTTCACTAAGAGTCCTGAAGCTACATTTGTCACATCTAAACTTTCTCTTGTCCTTCTCATGTGTCTTTGCATGTTGAACAAATGTGTTTGGGCAATTTGTTCCAAATGGACACTGAGGACAGAAAAACTTAGCGTTTTTATCATCTTTTTTCCGATCATTCACACCTTTGATCTCTTCAGTAAGTCTTGTTCTCTTGTCCTTATGGATGGACATGTGGTCAATAAGCAAACCACTTTGTCTGAAAGACTGGCCACACTCTCGGCATATGAAGGGCTTTGGTGAAATATTGGGAGGTTCAACATGAGACTTCATATGACGATGCAAATGATGTTCTTTCTTAAATATAAGTTTACATTTTGAGCATGGGTAACAGGACGGCTTCCCCTCTGAATGAGAATTTATTGTGAGTCTTCCCTTCAATGGAGAAAGTCCGTGTTTCATGTTGTTCTCATGTGAATTCCTTGAAGGTCCATTGTAAAGAATTTCCTTGATGGCCTTTACTGTTCCATTTGGATACTTTGAAACTTTTCCTGTTGGTGATGACTGTGACTTAGAGAATTTCCTTGACTTTCTGACTTTTCTGACAGGAATGGAATCTTCTTGGCCTTCAGCCTCAGACAGTTCCTCAGATGACTTGGGGCTCAATTCAGGGTAAAGGTCTTCTGAAGGATCTACCATCACAACCATGTCCATTTTCCGTTTCCTTCTCCTTTGGCTATTAGCAGGAGAGACTTCCTCTTTAGTCTCCTCACCAGGGGAATCACTATGGTTTTCCCAAAGAAACTGCATAAACTCTTTGTGTGGGTCCCAATTTAGGTCACTGGTGCTACTGAAATTATCCAATGAGTTCTCAGGTGACTCATCAAATCCCCAAATTCCTGCAGTGTCGATTTCATGTACAGTTTTTAGAGGCGTGATACTCTTTTCCTCCTCTTTTTCAGAGGAAATGCTATTTAGTTCATGGGCTTGTGTAGCCTGATGGGAAGAAGGTCCATTTCCCAAGCCAACCGGAGACAACATATCTTCATTCGACAGAACATCAAGGACATTGTTTTGTTTTGGGGAAGGCTTGCCAAAGGAATCAGTGCAAGCAGCGGATTCTTGCGCCATTCTCACTGGTTCCTGTAGGAGTGTGAGGGCATTGATCTCAGGATCTGCATCTTTGTCATCTTCATCAACACCTGTCAGACATGACATTTCTGCTGCCATGACCTAAAAAAGAAAAGACATTCTTAAATATACTCACTAACAAACAACTAAATAGTATAGTATTATTCAGTTCAAACCTCTGCCCTGAAAATAGACCATTGGTCTGGAAATTATGTAGCTTTTTTGACTTCCTCTTCATAGTACACACATATTTGTAAATAAAAGAAAACTTCTGTGTTAAAAAATTGTATGGTAATTTTTTTAACATCATACGTGAGCTATTGAGGTCACATGAGGCAAGGTGTGCATGGGGGATTAAATCAAGGATCACGTTAGAATAGTAAACTATAAGTTAATGCTCTCATACAGGTATTTTCTAACCAACTATTTTCTAACCATTCATTCATCGATCCATTTGCTACCACTTATCCAGCCAACAAAGAAACCTAGATCTCCCTCTCCTCAGCCACTTCCTTAAAGTGTTCCTATGACAGTCAAGACATATAACCTCTCCAAGGACATGTCGTTCTTCCAGGACATGTCCTTTTTCCAGGACATGCCCTTCTTCCAGGGTATGTCCTGGAAAAAGGACATGTCCTGGAAGAACGACATGTCCTTGGAGAGGTTATATGTCTTCTTCCAGGACATGCCTGGAACACCCAGGAGACACTATAATCAGATGTCCAAACAAGCCCCTTAGTGGTTCTACTCTGAGTCAGTGAATGACCCAGCTTGTCCCTGACCTGGAGTGGGTATTCTATCCTTTTCTGACTGAGAACCATGGCCTCAGACTTGTGTTAAGTGTTAATTCTCATTTCTTCCAATTAACACTGGGCTGCAAACTGCTTCAATGTGAGCTGGAGGCAACCACTTGATGAAGCCAATAGAACCACACTGTTTACAAAAAGCAGAAGCCACCAAGGTGAAAGCCTTCCGGCACCTGTTGTTTCCACCTGAAGATTCTGTCCGTAAAAATTAGAATAGAAACTGTGACAAGCCCCGGTGAAGTCCAACACCCACTGGAAACGAGTCCGGCTTATTCCCAGCAATGCAAACCAAGCATTTTGTTTTTCTTTTGGTACGATAACAAGGAGCAAAATGACTATGTTTTTCCATCACATTCATGGGTGAAGGGAGCAATGCTGTCATCCATAGGCCCTTTCCACTGGGCATATGGAGAGCCAATGGAAAGGGGTTTTCCATTGGCTCTCCATAGGCAAATACCTCAGCAAATGGACACAACTACAAAACCATGTTAAGCATAAATCTATTAACAGTTGCTTACTACAGTACTAGTCACAAACATGCCAGGGATGGTTACTAGCTAGCTATAACTTAGATATTCATCATGTAACTTATTATACTAATAGTCAAGTATAAAATATATATATATACACCGGTTAAAACCGGATGTTTTTATCAGGATGTCAATATTATTGGCCAAAATTTGCCATTTGGAAACCTATCAGTATCAGTATTCATAATGGTCGATAATTTAAAAACTCGAGAGATGGGAGAAACACCCTTCTTGCTATGAATATTGACATCACATAATTTTTCTGCCTCTCCAACCTCTCTAAACACAAAGTAGGGCAGGGCATAAACAATTAAGTAAATACCCTAACAGTTGTTGTCTGTGGTTAACTGTTTAAGGAAAAAACAATATGGCAACATATTGGAACATCGATTTTTTAACTCACCAAACAAAACATTTTTGCAATCTTGAAGTAACACTTAAATTGCACATTACCGTTAGCTAATATTTTTGAACTTTTTCATACCTCGCTGCACAGGAATAAATGTTTATTTTGAACCTCAAGGGCGTAGGTAGGAAAAATGGTGCAGTAAGCATAGAATCCGCAAGAAGCTGCTGCCAAACAGCAAACAGAGCTGGGGTCATTAATCAACCGGAAGAACATTATTCATTTAATTCAAAAGCTTCTTTCAGATTGGAAACCATTCCTGACACAACCCTGTGTCTCCACCCATTTTTTTGCATGTTAGGCAAATGTGTTAACCACTACACTGCTGAGCCACTAATTGTTGTTTTACTGAGTATTTTGACTATTCATGTCATTTTTCAAAGTAAAACACAATTACATTCTTATAAATAGTACTTCTTTATCTTACACATTAGGTGAATGAATGGGTTAGGTTTTGGACTAAAGCCAAAATTCATCTTAAATTTGCCAAAAAAATTGTTTTTTGACACTAGCCAAGAGAACCAAGAGAACAAACATTTAATGGTAAAAATCATTAACAGGAGCCCAGAAATGCAAATATAGATCAGTGGTAGTTAGCATTGTCTGTACATGCAGCTTGTAGCATGCTTTAGCAGATAGTATAAACTTGACAAAACAGGAAACTGTTCAAAATAACATTGAATATTTATATTTTTAAATGTGCAATTTGTAGTTCTTGGTTATTTAGATGTATAAAGTAAAGCGTTTGGCTATGCTACCAGAGTTGACTTCATGGCTCAATCAGCATTTACTGTCTACAAAATAAATAAAACTAAATACAAAATACACTCGATCCTTAGCTTAGATAATTAATTCTGGTCATTGTTAACACCACAAGGTCGAAGGAGCGAGAGGTGTTGTTTTTGAAGGGCAATAAAAGTGTCATACCAAGTGAATGCTTCTGTGGCACACAAAGGTGATCCTAACATGTACGTAGCAGCACCAAATCTGCACAGGGATGGACCTTATAAATGGCTTTTGGTGAGCGGTGTTGGATTTTGTATAGAGCTGAAACTTTCAGCACAGTTGTTCAGGTACATGCCAGCCCACGACAGTTGGTGTCAGTTTCAAATATGCCTTTTTTTCAGAGCAAATATGATCATCTAGACAAATGTTCCGTTGAAGGATCATTACATTTCTTTGACGTTTATATCACGATGTGTTGCTGGATGCTGCTTGCAGGAGCTGCAGACCATTCCATTAAGGCTGTTCCACACCAAAACCTATTCCTCAGGCTAAAATCCAGCTAATGACAATCGTTACTCGCTACTCATAATACAAACACCATTCCAAATGATGAAAAACAAACAAACGTTACCTCTGAGCGGTGTGGATGAAAACAGGGCGCAATTTATACGCTGCATTGAATAATTTCTTACTTTCGTCTTCCATCTATTTCACAGTCGCCATTTTCCTGTGGTGGTCTGGTGTGGGACAGATCATTTCTTTCGTACGGGTAATCGTACACGTAATTTACTCTAGTGTAAGAGGACAAACTTTTATCCAAATAATTACGTTTAATCCTGTGACTGTTTTATATTACAGCTATAGCAATAGCTCATGTTTTCGTCAAGTATTATTTCGTCGCGTATTGTTTCGAGTCGGCCTCATGCTCCCCCGAGAGATTTGTAATGGTTCAGTCCAGATAGGAGGCATAAAAGCAGAGTTAATGACCATCTCTTTTGGGTAGCAGATTTTTGGGGGGGCTTGATGTCGTATAATCACAGTTTTAATTGATAAGATAAATTGATAGGTTTGGTTTGGATTATTTTAAGCACACATCTGGTTTTGCTTTTTAAAGTTGCTACTGACGCACAGACAGGAATTGTATGCCAACACAGGAGAAATGTTAGCACTACCCCCCCCCATGGTTGTCTTCTCTTGGGTCTTTGTTGCGTTTGTAGCCGGTTATTAGCTTAGTTCTGTAACTCTCTACCTCGTAGTTTAAAGACTTGAGACACATTTTTTAAACATACGCGACAAAATATAAAAATTAATCCTGTAACCACTCTTATACCTGCCCCTGATTGTTTATAAGGGCATTTTTCTACAGCTGAGTTCAGCACTGTCAAAAGGAAAACGTATTAATAAAACTATTGTCAGTCACTGTGGAGTGAGGTCAGGGGGTTAAACTCAGGCCTGACTAAACAATGTCTTCGTATCTGCAGAGTAATGTCTGTTATCACAGGTGGGTATACAGTCATCATTTTAAGAAAGACATTGTTTTTACCTTACCTAAGCGGTGAACCGTCAAAATGTCTGCATAATTTATTGTGATTAGCTGGTTCTTACATGTTAGCTAAACTAAAGCTGCCGACACTTCTTTTGTCCTTAACATAACAGCCTAGAAAAGTAATAATGTAAGCATTTTGCTCTTAAACACCTTCATTTAAATGCAAATGAAATGCAAACAGATTGTATGTTGCTTTGTTCAGGAGGTGAGCTGTCATGCTGTAAACATTTTCAAGAAATCTGTTAATAACTTGTATTAGCTTAAATGCTAAAGCGATATCAACTGGATTATGACTAACACGAGGGCTGTGCAAAAGGCCTTTGCTAGGAAAGTGGGCAGTAGGTGCAGTGATTTATTGAAACATGTTCAAACGTACATGGAAATGCAGTATATAAGGCAAAAACAAAAAAACAGAGTTCATATAATTCTAACGTGCTTGAAAGTTGATATTTGACCACCTTTATTCTTCATCACAGCCTGAACTCACTTAATCAGAATCAGAATACTTTATTAATCCCTGGGGAAATTACGTAGCATTAGGCAGGTAGAATTAGGCACCTTTCCTGTAATTTCTCTAAGTAGTCTTGCTAGTGCTCCAAGCTTCTCGAAGGACATTCAGAGGTCGTCTTTGGATGTTAGCTGCCTTCTGTTCTCTGTCAAGATGATCCCACACTGCTTCAAAAATGTTGAGGTCCAGGCTCTGGGGAGGAGAATCCATAGTGTGATAGTGTGCCATTGTGTGTGTGTGTGTGTGTGTTTATATACAGGTATGCTTTTACTTCATCTGCAGTGTGTTTGGGATCATTATCATGTTCAAAAAATGAAGGTGTTGTCAATCAGACGCTTTCCAGATGATATTGCTTGGCGAATCGAAATTAGGTCATGACTTTCAGATACTGTTCATGTGCTATAGATAGTTTTGTTGGCCTTATACTTCTTCTTTTGTCCTCTGCTTGCCCAGTTTACTATTTTCCTTAGGAAAATACTGCACACAGTACTGAGATCTGATGCATTTTCAGCTAACAGCTCGTTGGGAAGCACCTTGTTGATGCAATAATTTTATTTTAATGCCTGCCAAACTTTGTGATCTTTGGTATTTTTTGTACTACAGAAATGTAAAGAAATTATTTGCTGACCAGCTGCTAGTAACAAAGTGCCTAAAGATAGAATTTAAAATAGGTTCTTTTGTAAATTGTCTGTTATTTGTAGACACAACACTGGTACCCTTTCATGCTTCAGTGAGTCATAGGTTATTTTTAACTGGCTTAACAAACAACAACAAAAAATTCGTAAAATGGTCAGGTACAAGGACTGGACTGAAAAAGCACCCAATGTCCAAAGGAAAACTTTGAAACACCTTCAGATGTTTGTTTTTTTTAATACCAAGAAAATCTGGAATCAAAATATTTTTAATAATGAGGGATGGCTCAAGATTATAGCACAGAACTGTATATTAAAGCTAAATCATTCCCATGTTATCTGCCCAATGCTATGATACTGTGGGGATTGAAAACTTTAAGGCCATAAGGGCATAAACATGGTATAACTACATCATTAAGAGGCTTGATTGAGTCATGAAACAAAAATGAAGATAAACCTGTTAGCTCTGTGTTAATCTTTACCACAAACCAAAGTCCTTTGGTTGGCAGCAACAATGGCAGTTTCCCCACATTCTCTAATCTAGGTTTTATAGCGAACAGGTCAGTTGTGCATATGCATTTGTCAAATCTCTATTTTCTTTCCTCTTAATCATTTACCCCTAAACCGGTTTGTATTCAAATTCAGTGAGTACATAGCTGTATTATCTGATGAGATGTTGGACTCTGATGACTGCACCTTGGCCTTGGATGGTCTGTTTTTTGACAAACCCGCTGTCCATGAAGTGTAAGTACAAAAAGGTGTCCCACTTATTCCCTTTTGTCTTTACTCCTGTAATCTGAATTATTCTTTTTGACAGAAAACCACTGCACCAGGAGGTCAGTCAATGGCAGCTGGAAGAGCCTCCATCTCTTACTCATATTCCAGCCACTCAGGATATACAAGAGGAAGCTGAATCGCTCTCTACACGATACAGTATGTTGTGCTCAGGATTAGGTTGAATTCCTTTTCACTTGACTTGAGTAAACTGCTCAGTATCAGGCCAATTGAAGCCCTACTAAATTTAACTCTGTGACTCACTGACTCAGTGGCTTGAATAGGCTTGAAAGCATTCCCAGTTTTCTTTGACTTTGCATAAACAAATCTGAATCTGGGTCTTATGATATATTCAGGTATAGATGGAAAGGTTAATTCCCCGATGTTAACTTTGTTTAATCTAATCAAAGCACTGAAGGCGGCTTTATTAAATTTTTTAGAGGGAAACGCATCACAGCTACCAGCAACTTGGATTCAACTCTTTCTCATTCTTCAATGTGACTTGCAGGTTTCTCAGAGGCAACCCATAAGTTTCAGCCTCTTTTTAAAGGATCTGCTGGCCTTAAGGTGCTACCTTCAGCAATCAGCAGTTCCTGCAGTTTTAACAGTGATAAGAAAGAGACTGAGAAGACTAACGGAGGTAGCAGCAGCAGCACCAGCCAATGCGATGGCCTCCAGGGAGGTGAAGGGTTCAGGGATTACTCTCAGGGTGGTTGTCAGAGTGGCAGAGGTGGCGATGAAACCCTGCAGGACTCTGGTCATGTGGGCCTCAGCAGATGGTTGTCTCAGGACTGCAGCAAAAGCCTGCCTCTACGGACAAGGAAAGTCTTAGTTATGTGCACATTGTTTTCAGATATTTACTGTGTTGCATGTGTTTAATGATGAGTAGAAACGTAACAGTTCCTTGTTTTCAAGGCGTTTTAACTGCAGACCCATCACTGTGACCCATGTGATGCCATAAAAAGCAAGTCAACTCTTTGCTGATCTGCGTTATATGGCCCGTGGGATGTTTAAACTAACAGGATTACTATCATTCACTCTATAAAACACACATTTCCATTTTTTTATACATGTGTACCGTAGTGCTGATTTACTCTTTAATCTCTGGACTCATAATAACACAAGAAGATGCTAAGCTATCCTCCATGTTAGCCTTGTTACCTGATTGTGCAGCCCCCTAACAGTCTAATCTGCTTCCACCTCTCTTCTCTTTCATTTCTTTATTTCCTCCTCCTTCCCACAACAGCTTGTTCAATATTCAGGTGTATACCAGTGGAGGTGACTCTTTAAACACAGGTGACCTCAGTAGCAGTGGCGGCAGCAATCAGACAACATCCAGACCTCAAACTTTTCTCAGTCAGGTTACCATGGCGACAGCGCCTCCTCCTCCTCCTCTTCCTCTTCAGCCGCCACGGGCGACAGTTGGCTGCGCAGCTCCTCCTTTCCCCTCCAAGCCCACCCTCTCACCCCCTCCCATGGGTTCATCTGCAGCGAGCGGCCGACCCCCGCAGCAGGCGGCACATGCAGAGACGCAGGACAAGGGCACAAAGAAAGGTTTCGTTCCGCCCATGACGCCTCGGCCGCTCCTAATCCAAGGTGTTACACTGCACTGATATACTGGCAGGTTGACGCTGCGCTCACTGTGTAGGAGCTCTTTAAATACAGCTCATATAGCTTCTGTAAAGTGTTGCAGCTCATCAACATGCCAATGTCTGGCCATGGTAGCAGCTGCCATGGTGTATTTGGGTGTGATGAGGTGAGCTCTGCCCATTGATTGCTCCAGTGTAATGAAACATACTGGTCACTAGGTGGTGAATAGTAGATGCAGTGGACAGGAACAATAGAGGCCATTTTAACCCATTGTAGTCTGCAAAGAATCAGCAGATTCTCTTTCGTCACAAATGTACAACACTACCAAATGCTGCATATTCAATTCAATGTGTAATTGTTTCAATGAAAATCTTGCATTAATGAAAATTTATAATGTCTTAAATAATATTGTCATTTCAGGATCTTCTGGATCTGGAGTTTTGCGCCCAGTTTCAGAAATACGTATCCTTTTTCTTGTTCAAATTGACACAATTTGAAGCTGTTAGGTAGTGTCTGAATCAAAGTGATGTTTCCTAAAACCTGTTACACAGCATTTAAGTTCAGATCTGTCTTCAGTGAGTTTCCCTTTTTCAATTACGTTCAGTCCAAAGCTCTGGATGATGTAAGCATTTGTTTGTAAATCTGCATACACAGAAATCATGAAAAACACATCTGGTTAAATGTAAATTTACACCTGTGTAAATGTAAACTACCCCTGGCACTGTGTCCTCCAGTGTATGTGTGTTTGGTCTGTCTGCAGGTTCTTTATACAAATAAAAACTTTGTGGCCTGTGCTCCGACTGGATCTGGTAAAACAGTGCTGTTTGAGCTGGCAATCATTCGCCTGCTAATGGAGACACCAG